ATCGGCGAAACAGTGAAACACTTGTTACGTAGTTTTATATCAAAAGCCATAAAGGTTAAATTTGTGTGAAAGTTACCGCCGAGAATAAACGATGAATTCTTTGAAACTGACGAACTGGCAATTGTGAATCTTAAATGCGGTTGACTGCTGCTCGATTTTCTATCCGACCGTGATAGCGGCGCGACATTAATAATATAAACAAACCTCCAAATCAAACGTGGAACTGACGCTGATCGAGTTCGGCTAAAATAACTGACGTTAACTTCCCTGTCGTGCAAACAAGACGCGTATTCCCACCGCGGTCTCTCGTCGCTAAATGCGATCGTCTAATTGTGAATTTTGGTCACACAATCGAAGTGCTACGAAATTAGGATTGGAAGTGAGGGGGGGGGGAGGGGAGAGTAATCAAAGGAACGAAATATCGTCAGGTCAGATTTATCACGTGAGCGCGATCGATTTTCTCGCCGGATGTCAATATCTCTCTCTCTCTCTCTCTCTTATAAGTCTTTCGGGGGAGGAAAGGACGTCGTTCGTTATAGGACGATTACTCGGGACCGTGGCTACTCATGAATAGCCGAGGGCCGAGTGTACAAAAGCGCGCGAGAGGCACAGAGACGGTCGTATCCCCTCGTGCATATTGCAAGGGAAGCCTCAAAATTACTTTCGAGCTCGGTTGGTAGTTAATGCTCGTCCCTCTTTCTCTCTCCCTCTTTCTCTCTCTCTCACACACACACACTCTTTCTCTTCGCGCACTAGGGCTTTAAATATTCCAATTGACGAAGTTCGCGTCATCCGCCGCGTCGGCCGGCCGGCCGACCGACCGACCGACCGTTCGGTGCCGCGACAATAGGTGCACCGAGAAAACTAAATGAGCCGCGACGTAATTCAGTCTCTCGAAGTTTTACGCGCCGTGCCGGAATCGCAACGTCACGTCACGTTGACATTTATCTTCAGTCGGAAAACCCCGTCCTTTTCTGCGCCAAAGGAACGTAGCCCGTCCTGGTTTATCGAAAGGTGCAGGATGCGCCATTGAGAAACCCTCAGCTAAGAGACAAACGTTTCGTTATAGAAATGATTTTATCTGGCTTTATTTTATCTCCCGCGGGAATCCCTTTCTCGTCGTGTCCTTAACTTTGATATTGAAAAGTACGTCATTTTAAAGCGAGTAATGAGAGAAGAAGAGCCATATTCGCCAGTGCAGTGGCTGGAATTTTCGTCGGAAAAGAGGGACAGAAATGAATATGCAGAAAAACGTGAAAAGTACGTGCCGCGTGAGCGAGCAGTCCCCTATTGACGTCGATCTTTTCTGGTATATCGAGAGCGACCAAAATTCAAAATAAGACAACGGGCTCACGGGAATATGCGGCGGGAATACGGGTCCTGCAGTTGTGCGTGTGCGAGAAGCCACGTCAGTTATTTTAGTGTTCGTCGCGAGAAATCGATGTTAAGGACATTACATCGTCACCCCGTCGTCGCCGTTGTCGTCGTCGCCGTCGCCGCATCGTCGCGTATGGCAGTACGCTTGAAAATCGACGAAAAACGAGAAAAAGGAAGTGTGATCGACGAAAGAGAGAGAGAGAGAGAGAGAGAGAGAGAGAGAGAGAAGAGAAGAACGTTTCGCGAGTCGAGAGGGAACGATCGATGAATATGAAACGGGGAAAAAAAAAATGTTCGCGGCCGGGAATAAGGACGCGCGGAAATGTTCACGAGCGATTCGGCATCGTGTACATCCGCGCGCGCGCACACACACCGTCATCAAGACACGCGTAGTTTCTGCGAGTCCCAGGCATCGACGTAGATTCAATTTGATGCTAATACTTGCAGATGATATACCACAAAGGTATCAGGCCACTGATGAAAGTTAAACAGCCGGTGCGCGGGAGTGAATGGCAAAGTGGTATTACAACAACTTTCGTATGCCCCGACCAAGTACAAACGGCGAATAATGCACATCATATATATAGATATATGCGGATGATTTTCCTCGTCTTTTTTTTTGAACATTATTATGCAATTATCATAAAATGTGATACGTTTTATTGAATCAAAATTCCTTGCGGTGGTTCATATCGCAATATATACGTGTATATGTAACATCAAGTCTCTGAGATAAGAGTAAAATTAACTGCGGGGTGAAATAAGAAGAAGCTCGTGCATAATTATGCGGTACAGCTATTAAATCTTTACGTTTAATTTTTTTTGTGCCAATTTTATTCGCAAGAGATCAATTTTTTATATCTCTGTATACGTTTCATAGTATATATTTTTTAGAAAGTAACATTAGCTTCTATAGACTACTTTATATACCTTATTTATAAATATTTTGTGAATAAATTGCGAATAAAGGCATTATTAATGATGTTGTATTTAAAGTAAAAATACAAATACGAGATGAAATTTTATTGATTCTTCATTAGATGTTTAAAAGATTTACGCCATTAGCGAAATCTGTCAAATCAGGTTTCTTGACATTTTAATTATAATAGATATTACATGGCGCAAAATGCAAAGTTACATAAATCAAAACCGCTCTTAATAACCGCTCATAAATCAAACTCTTACCGCTCTTAGTCGCAACGAAAAAAAAAAATTACTTTTACTAATTTAATAAGAATTTGAAATTTGCAAGCGATAAAGAAAAGAAAATACTTTTGATATAATATTTATATGATTCCTTGGACTATTAGTTATCAAACGATGGTACAAGTCTTTATTCCTTTATGCTAATATAAAACGTTATCTTGATCATCATTAGACTAATGACCTGATTTGATTTTCCACGGAATAATACGTTTTTTTATGCATTCAAGAACAAGATTCGGTGACCATTTGATCCTTCTCCTCTTTGATCTTTGCCCTATTTTTGTAACGATCATCCTTGAGGCGTTACTACGATACTACATCGATTTGCGTCATTCGGCGACCACCATCCTGGCGACGCGACGAAGGGTTTTACTGCCCTGTCGGGGTTTCGCCATTTTATTTACTTATTTCTCTCTTTCACTTTCTCTCTCTCTCTCTCTCTCTCTCCTCCTTCTCTCTCTCTCTCTCTCTCCCTCCCTCCCTCCTCTCTCTCTCTCTCTCTCTCTCTCTCTCTTTAACCCTTATAGAAAATAGTTCAACGTGAAACGTGGACCGCCCCATTTGCATGGATTTCAATCTCAAAGATCGTGAATCTGCGAGCGGTATCCTTCGGATAGACGTCGTCGTTACCCCTTTCTAGTCTGAATTAATGACCCAGAGCTCTAGACTATGCAGCCTCCAATAGGTATCCTTGGATATAATTTTCCCTTTTACAGGTATTCTTGGGTATAATTTTAATCTTTTATTTCATTATTTATTTTCATTATTCAAGTGACGATATCTTGACGGATAGGCACGCGACCGATGTCCCTTTCCAGCGTTAACAGATTCGAGCAGTACAGTATCCAATAAATATCCTCAATGGAGAACTTTAACGATTTAATTTTCGATTTTGTGATTATTAATCCGGATGATTCAACAAAGAAAGAAGAGAAAGGGAGAGAGAGAGAGAGAGAGAAAAAGAGAAAATTTTATATGATAGTCACAATTATTTCTACTTCGCGAATATTCAGGAATAATGTCCGTGCGGGCGCTTTGTGATGCAATTTGCGCGGCGATTATGAAAGCCAGGTACATATATCGAAACGCGTACAAACTGCTTTCGGCGAAACAGTAAAGCGAAAACGAAGCTTTTTACTGCTTCGTTCATAGAAGGGAGTTTCCGCGAATGGCGCCGGCGAAGTTGGAAAACTCGCCATACATACCGGTAACGCTAAGAAACTTTTAATGAAAATCGAGCAAGACTCTTTTCTATCCCGCGATCTTCCGTCCCGGGGAATGGATTCGAAAATGGTTTTTCGAAATTCTATCTATCTCGGATGTGCCGCGACACGATGGTGTATCGTCTGTACAAAATAACGCATAGAATAGCTCCGTCTCCTTTTTTTTCCCCCCTACTTATTTTCAACGCCTGTACAATTGGAAACCAAAAAAAAGGAACGAATTTATATTCCACAAAAAGATTGCAAAAGAGAAGAGAAACCATAATTCAAATATGTATTATGTAATCTAAATGCGAATCAGGGGTTTGCCACTTTTTTTTTTGTTTATAACGATGAATCCTCAGATGTCAAAGCTAACCTAATAAAATTTAAATTGAAAAGATTCCTTTGAACATTTTCAACAGACGATTTTCTTACAGCCCCATAGAAGTGAGACTTCTTGTATTTTTATTTGTGCTTAATTAAAAACGTCGAGAATCAATCTATTTTTGGGGTCTAATTGTAAATTTATTTAGTGATATTTGAATAGCCCTACTATTATTATACTCCTACTATTTCTATCGAATAGTCCTACTGAACATTTTATTGTGAAAAGCGCGCAAAATCGTCTCTCTCTCTCTTTCTCTCTCTCTTTTCCCATCTTTCTCCAGTCTCGCGGCTGCCTTGGCTCCCCGCGCACTCGTAAGAGTTCGATTAATAAAATCTCACGCCAGTTGAACGAGCGTCGTAACGACGTCGGCGCCAGCGGACGCGACGGAGGTGCATGACGACGATGACGCGAAAAGACGGGGCCCGCGATCGCAACGAGACCGGAGAGACGACGAGAATCGGGATGCGAGAGAGAGATAGAGAGAGAGAGAGAAAGAGCGACAGAGGGAGAGAGAGGCAAGGCGGGAGAGACGCGCGAGTGCGAGAAGGAGGGCGCGTCGGGTGGGAGAAGGAGAGACGGCAGATGGATTCGCGGGATCGGTGGCGTGAGCGATCCACGCATGCGCGCTGGCGCCTTCGAAACTCGGCGCGCGTTCTCTCCGGTCGGCGGGCGCCCGTCATCCGTCCGCCGCCGTTGCGAGTCAAGTCAGTGGTGCACGGTCGGTCGCGTGGTACGTACGTTGTGATAAGCACGCGGATCGCGGGGGCGAAAGAGTGGTGCCCGAGAGAGTAAAACTTAAAAGCGCATATAGAGTCGCAGGCGGACACTGACACACACGCGCGCGCATATACGCGACACGCACGCACGTACGTACACACACCCACTCACACGCGTGGCCACTATACTTCGCAGTTTGCTCTGCTCTACTCGATTACTTTCTACCTTCCATCTCCAACGGCGATCGCCCGCTCGCGCGCAGTTCCCGACACTCAAAAGAGTTTCCGAAGGACGGACCTTCCTCTCTCCCGCGCACGGCGAACCAATTTCCCGTACGGTGCACGGTACACACAACGCACAGAGCAAGATTCGACGACGAGAGCGGCCCGGAACATGAAAACACCTATGGAGAATCAGCTGTCCTGGCTCGCGCTGTTCATGACCGCCTTGTATTCTCGTGAGTATTTATCTACGTATACACAACTTCGTAGCCTCTTCCCCGTCCTCTATTCTAGCTCGTGACGTATGTGCGATCGCCGTACGACACCCGGCGACCGGCGTTTTCGCTCTATTATTTATATTATATTATAGCGTTACAGAGTCTCTGATCGTTTCACTTGCGCGTTTCGCGTATTTATTTTCTTTGATTTCTCTCTCCCCCTCTCTCTCTCTCTCTCTCTCGCCATCTCCAAAGACCTCTAATTCATTTCCTCACTGCGATTGCAAGAAAATGCGAGTAAGACGAATCTGATTTACGTCACGATCCTCGAGGATCTTTTAATTGAAGTAGGTTGGTGGAACGCGCGAGCGAGCGCTCCGGAATCGCGCGACTTCAGATCGCTTGCATCAAAATATCGAGTATCCATTCTCTTTTAAATACGTTAATGACGCTCGATCGTTGTTTTGAAATCTGCTGACGGTTGAGTTTTTCGAGATTACCCCCTCGTATGTATACACTTGCGCGAAATCGCGCCTTCGAGTTACATCTCGTTTCTGCTGATCGCCTCATGTTTCTCTATTCAGGCCCGGACTTCCTTGACGTGAATTCGTTGATTACCCACGTGTTTCGTTGCTGTAACATTCGGGGTTACACGGTGGTTCACATCCGACGTGCGTGAAAGTGACGTTTAAGGGATGAGGGATGGCGTTTACTTCCGCAAAAGCAAAACGTGCGAATCGCACAACGTCGTTGTCATGTTAATCGCAAAATCGTCAAACACAGAAAGTGAATCGCGCGGAGGAGGGGGGGAAAAAAAAGAACGCGCGTCACAATGACAGTTCGCGAATCGCGCGCGTGTACAATTTCGGGATACAATTTCACGTGCTTCAGTAATTTTCCTGCCGAAAATAACAAGCGTCCGATGTCTACTCGTGTTCGACACGTAAATACGCCCCACCTTTCATTCCGCGTCAGACGTAAATCTCGCGTCGAGTCAATCCCGAACACGAAAAGACGGAAGGCCGCCGGACGACCGAGAGCGTTCTTGTTTATCCGAACTTACGGGTTGTCATTCTTTGGACGAAAGTATAATGAATAACTCCCACGCGCGACAACCCGGTCTCTTTCCGCGAAACCTAGGTCAAGGACGTCGCTTCAAGTGCATAACGGCGGAGGAGGATCGACGGCGTACTAGATTAAAGCGGGACGCGCGCGCGCTCGCGGGTCGACATGTCCCGACGTCATTGCTTAAAATCTGGAATAAGAACGTTGGGACACGCGCGAGATGAAACGCTTCGCAAAACGCCAAGTTTCGCGTTCGAGCATTCTTCAACGTCCAATCCCGAGTTGACGTCGTCGGTCAATGCGCGTCAATGCAGCGAAAAAAGCAACTCGTCGCGGCGCCAGGTCCAAGATGGAATTAGAATTTGTTAATTTGGGGGCGTGTTTCCCGCCGACGCGACGACGTCGCGTAAATAATTTCGGGTGCGAAATTGTCGTCGCTTCATGTCAGCTCCGGATATACTATACTTTCGATCGAACTTTCGGAGGATATTTTTAACGGGGCTGCAAATTATAGCTGAAATTAATCTCGCGCGGAAATTAACTTTTTACCTTAGTTCGAGCGCGATCGCGCGCGTCTCTCGCCTTCTAATTCTAGTTTCCGGGAGCGAGGGACAAACGATCAGTTAAACTACGGTTAAAGTTAACGGTCGACGGCGAGGAGAGTGATCGTAAAAAGGCGGGAAAATTTCTGCGCGACGGAAAAATGTTTCGCCACAGGGCTCCGCGATTGGGGGCTCGTTTGGCGCGGGGGAGATTGGGAAAGGGCACCGTGCGAACGGCAGTAATTGGTCCCATGCTGTAAAATTGGGAACGTTTAATTAGAGCGAAGATTGATACTAACATGCAAGCAAAAATTCTCAAAGTATCGACCTACCCCGGGGTTTTATCTAATTAGGTCGCAGACAAGTTTCGGAGCGCTTCCTCTTTCCAACCGTATCTTTGGCGGGGCGACGCGATGTTCCGAGATTATCGGAAGAGACTGGATATCCGTTTTAGGGCAAAGGAAGCTTTTCGACAATTAGTGCTCCAATTCCTGTCCCGTATTTCGCTCGTCGGCCGAGTCGTTTATTTTGATAGCGACGCGAATCGATTTTTGCTAACCCATTAATTCGTCGGCGTCAGCGTGCAAAACTAAAATTTAGCGATTGAAAAGAATCGCCGAAATAGCTTTTTATTGAGTTGACATTAAAAACCTGACGAAATATTAATTACAGCGAAAAAGTGTTAAATTCTCCCCTGCAGCCGTTCTCCGCGAAATGTTATTTCGGCGACGAGCAAAACTTACCTGTATAATGCATATGTAAAAGTTATTTCCAAATTTCCAAAGTGGCCAAATAAAGATAATTTAGTGAAAATTTAAAATGGTCTCGGTTTACGCGAAATTCAATTCTCGTCTGACACGTGTCGGAATCCGGCGGATTAAAATAAAAGGTAAATTGGAGCGGGAGAGCTGTGCGAGACTGAAATTTGCCATATCGATTATAAGAAGCTATGCATCCTTGAAATAAAACGGATGACACGTGCCTGGGGCGGGGACCGCGATATAATCCAAGTGGCAAAGCGCGCATCTGGAAATTACCGGGGATCCGAATTTAAAGCCGCAGCAGCGGCGAGGGGAGGAGGCGGGGAGAGGGGGCAAGGGGCGTGCGTGACGGCGCCGAGTTACGCGGGTTTAAAATACGCGAAACGCAATTAGTTTTCGCAACGAGAATTTCTGCAAATTGTGTTTACGACGCTGTCTCTGACGTTTTGGAGGCGGAGTGCGCGATGACGGGAATCGCGGGCCGGCCTTGAATTCATTCAGGGTATATATTTGTTCTCTGCATCTCCGCGCGCGTGATGCACACTTCGCGGAAACGGAGTAAACAAAACGATCTCCGTGGCGAGTATACATACGGCTATAGTCTCGCGCGCTTCCTGTTGTCTAATCGCGCGACGCGAATTACGCATAGATTCGTAAATATTACTCGCGCCATCGGCTGCTGATCTCGATCGCGCGAGCAGGCCATTTCGAGTCATAACGAGAGATAACGGCGGCGTGCAGTGACGCAGACTGTAGCGAGGTGTGACGTTTCCTCTCTGAATAAATTCTCAAATGCATTTCCCGAGCGATGCAGCGCATTGGATTACATCACCGCGCTCGTGTCGCGCCACGCTAGCATACCCATATGTGCGAGCGTTAGATAATTGACTTGTTTACTATAATAACTCTTATATCGATCTTTTCATCTCTCCGCGTATCTTCGTGTCAATTATTTCATCTCGTCAAGTTACACGCAACCGCACGTATATAATTGTAATCGAATCGACTTTCGCCGACAGTCCGCGTCCTTCGGTTCCCGTCAACGTCGAAATTGGGGCCAGATTTATAATGAAATAATTGAGCGATATAAAGCTCGGAAAGTTGTCGCGGAGGGGGGAGGGGGGGGGGAGGGTACGAGAGAAGGGAAAGCGGCTCGCTCGCGAATCTCGCGATCCTCTAGATCAGTCCTTTCGCGCGACAGTCTTTCTCGGTACCGAAATAGCTACGGCGGCGGTCGACAACCACGTGGGTGACTCGCTCCGTTACATCGTACGAGATGACGTAGCGGCTGGCGATTGGCCGAGCGGATGGGCGTGAGTCTCGCCTCACCTTTAACGACTCACACCGACTCTCACATGCCGATCTCGGCACGGCACGGCGCGGCTCGGCGTCGCGCCATGGTCGCGCCACGCGAAAAGCATCCTCGGACGACCAACCGAGAGCCGTTTTTCCTTGACGCGCGAGAGAGCGGAGAAACCTCCGTGGTCGCGAAACGACAGATGCGAGGAAGAGACAGAGGGAGAGAGAAACAGCCGGTTTGTGCTGATACGGTGTGCTCTCGCTCACGCACGCCGCATTCCACGGAGTTTAGGTTGTTCCACGTAACTACACGCGCGAGAACGAGGACTTGTTGCGTGGCGGAGAGAGAAAGAGAGAGGGGGAGAAAGAGAGAGAGACCTATATGTACACCTATAGAGATAAGAAGAGAAGCGTCGCAGCTGCTTCTCCTCGCGTGAATCATGTGATTTACTTTGATGCGCGTGTAGCGTCGCTGATATTTTCGGTAGCTTCTTCGAGACTATATTAACTCGTTCATTTTACCTTACGTCTCTTCCGCCTCTTGTTCTCCTTTCCTCTGCTTTACTATGAATTTATTTTCTCTCGTTGCTTATTTATTCTGGAAATAGGATACGGTGCGCAAAGTGACATTACAATAATAAATAGCGTAAACGGAGCAATAATGTGCGGAAAGAAAGAATAGAGGGATATAGAGACCGCGGTGTAATAAACGTGCGCAGCGGGGTAAATTAATTAAAGTTAGCGAAATCTTTTGCCGTTCATGTATACCAATGTCATATTAAATGCGGAGAGAGTGCCGGAGGAGGCTGAAGATAAAACAAACAGTTACCGTTTCCCTCTCTTGCGAGAGTCATCTTTCATTTATGGGAAATAAAACCGAGATGAAATAACGAGTTGTACCGTGGATGCTCCGGGCTGCGGATATATTATTGTAATAGATAATTCCATTTCTTTGTTAAATGGAAATATTATTCTCTCCGCTTGAGGTCTAACTAGAAATTATAAGAGTCGTTCGATTATACACACAGACTCGATCGTGTTAATTCGTCGGTTTCTATTTTCTATTACTCGTATATATATATATCGTTTTTATAATACATTCCTAGCACGCATGTTTCTACACATCACGTTCACATGAGAATCTGTATAGATGTAACTTAAAATGCAATTTTTTCTACGTATCGCATCGCGAATTATAGATAGCGCGAGGCGGGCTGGAGATTTTCAAGATTTCAAGGAAATCAAGTAAGCGTGTTCAAAAGTATCGATGTTTACCTCGGAGTCGCGTTAACGTTCGTTGCTGCAGGGAGTCGCTGAATTTTCGCGAGTATCCAAACCGGTATCGATACCC